GGTCTTAAACACAGATGATGTTACCTAATCTCTTCCTTAATTGTAAAAATATTAGGTATTGATTCTGGTAGAGTGCAGAACGTAAAGCTGGTAAAGAGGAGTGACTGAGAGAAACTCAAAATTGAGTAGAAGAAAGAATTTACATGTTTTTCCTTCAAGAAATGTATTCAAGAAATACTACAGGAGAAACAGCTTTAACTGAGTTACAGAAACCTATAAGCTATCCTCTGTTTTTTAAGCCTTTTAGTTCATTATGGACAAGCCATGTGAATTTTCCTTTCTGTAGCTCAGGTGAACCAGGAGGTTACTGACAAGAGAAAAAAGGAGGAAGGAAACATATCAATCTGTGTGTAGATCTAGAAAAGACAAAAGGGAAGGCTAGACCTTGCCTGCCTGTCTTGATAATCTACACCCTAATTCAGAACATTTGATACTCTATTCCTACATTAAGTGGAAGCGTAAATGCCCTTTTGAACACCAGAAATGTCAGCTCTCTTCCTGGGTGAAAATGCTTCTCTTTCTCTCTTTCATCCTACAAGGCATGGGAAGCAGTGATGAGGGATCAGATTTTCAAGATATTGACTCCACTCCGGAGCTGGACATGTGCCAGGATCCCCGACTAGAACGCACAGGAAACAGGTCAGAGTGCTTTTATTGCAGACATTGTGCCCTTTTAAAGGCAAGCTGTCGTGGATTTTGTTTGGCACGGCATGGCCATTAATGGAACCCACAGCAACTGGGGATGTACAGGAAACCATAGTTGTGTCTAACAGAGCTTTGAAAAGTTACTTTTTTGGACTAAAACTGCTAAAAATTCCCCAACCAACATGGCCACCTGAACAGGGGTTTTTGGTAGCTGTAGTATGGAAAAGAGGTGTGGCGCTGTGGGTTAAACCACTGAATCCTCTGTGCTGCAAGGTCAGAAGATCTACAGTCGTAAGATCGAATCCACGTGATGGAGTGAACTCCTGTCGCTTGTCTCAGCTCCCGCCAACCTAGCGGTTCGAAAGCATGCAAAATGCTAAAATGCGAGTAGATAAATAGGTTACCACCTTGTCGGGAAGGTAAACAGCATTCCGTGTCTAGTCACGCTGGCCACGTGACCACAGAGGATTGTCTGCGGACAAAACGCTAGCTCTATGGGTTGGAAATGAGCACCGCTGCCTAAAGTCGGACATGACTGGACAAATTGTCAAGGGGAACCTTTACCTTTTTACCTTTACTTTGGTATAGAAAAGTAGCTTTCTTCTGCTTTCAGCAGCCATTGCTACTTCTAAGTGAAACATCTTTCAGCAGGCTGTCATTTGAAGCAGAAAAAAAGAAGTATTGATGAAGAGAAGGATAGTGTCGCATTTTCACTACCTCTTTGCTTAGGTCAACACATATTTCCAATTTGGGGAGCTGCATTTGTTCTCCCACATTCAGACTGTGATTATACAGTCAAATACTGCGTGATTTGCTGAGGGTGTGAAACGAATGAATTTACGAATTTTTATTGCTGATCACATGAACCAAAGTGACGAGTTAAAAATCAGTCTGAACTTTTTTGCTCTCATTGCAGAGGTGTTTTCCCCCCCTCCCACTAGGGGCTTTTATTTTTTTCAAGCTGGAACTATTTGAATGGATTTTTCCCTTGTGTGATCAGTTCCTTCATTCTCCAGAAGGGTGTGTGTGTGACTGTGGTTGGTATTCTAGTAACATACTAAGCTGGGTGTGATGTTCTGGACAATGGGAACACCCGTCCCTGTCATCTTTCTCTCTATGTACCCCAAAGTAATTTAAAAGAAAAACAAAGTGTTAAGTTTAGCACAAGATCATCTTATCCCTACATTGGTGTGCTAGTTCAGTGCTAGATCACCTTTGCATAGGCAAAAACAAACGATAAAAACTGATAGCAGACAATTGTGTTTCCACAGGCTGTTTGCATGTGTTAGTAGGTTATGGAGAACTTTGGAAAACTGTCTCTTTTCCCTAGCACCATGTAACACTTTAGACAGTCCACCAGCTTTACGATGAGGGAGAGGTGGGAATTGGCAGAGGGCAGAAGCAAAAGAAGGGTGGGTGGGTTGTGGGCGATGGCACAGATAAAGCCAGATCATATTGAGGGGCTCCAAAACAATCCACAGTCTCTATGTGATCATCTAATCTGAACAGGTGTGTAAAACAGGCTGCAAATCAAGCCTCAGCAAAGCTAAATTGCTTGCCAGTATAATTTCAGCCTTAGACACTCTGCCAATCAAAAGCTAGCATGTCATGGTGTCGTTTTGCTAGCTTAAATTTTTCTTTAACATGTTAGGTTTTTAAAACAAACAAACAAACAAACAATTATTTAATTTTTTTCATATTATTAAATCTGAACACTCTAAGGAGGAAGCCTGTTGTCACTGGCCATCTGATGTGATACATTTTTGGGAGTGTTGCCTTATTTATTCACTTGTAATACCCCAAACGTTTTGATTCTTCTGGTTGTTGTGGGTTTTTCAGGCTCTTTGGCCATGTTCTGAAGGTGGGCAGAGTTCTTACTCCAGTCCTCTGAAGATGCTGGCCACAGAGACTGGCGAAACGTCAGGAAGAACAACCTTCAGAACACGGCCAAAGAGCTCGAATAACCCACAACAACCATTTTGATTCTTCTTCTTGTTGGATTGGGATATTTGAGTGAAATGATGGCTGGTTTGCAACACTAATCGGGGAGATCCAACGTATGCTTACTTGCTACTTTTCTGTGGTTTTTCTCTTTGCCCAACAGCCCAACTCAGGGGATTGTCAACAAAGCCTTCGGCATCAACACCGACTCGCTCTATACAGAACTCAGCGAGGTGGGCTCGGAGGCTATTGGGGATGTGGACGAAGGAGCAGACCTGCTAGGTAAAGGATGCAAAAAGCAGTCTTCTTATATTATTTTGTTGCTTATTTTCACAACAGCCCTTTGTAGCATTTATTTATTTATTCATTTATTTATTTAATCACACTTATACCCTGTTTTTTCCAGATAATGAGGTCAATGAAGGCAGCTTAGGAGTCTTAAGATGGTAGATAATAATGGCTTGGGTAAATGGCTGAAGAAGCAGTTTTAATCGTTCCGCGCTTCCCTGCCCTGGTGTCCTTTTTGGTTCCTTGGATGACAAGGATGAAATTTGTCCTCCTTCTCTAGCCAGGGAAGAGGCAATTCCAGGTTGGAGAACAACTGAAGCTGCTCAGCCATTCCCCAACCCGGAGCCCGCTAGTTGGGTTGAATGACAGTCCCCATGATCCTTAAACAGCATAGCCTCTGGACAGACTCTCTGGGGAAGCTGAGAAGTAGGAGTTCAACAGATCTGGAGGGCTGCATTACAGGGGGAAATAAATAATATAACCAGTCCAGTAGTGAAAGCACTGAAGTGAATGGGGGGAGAGGAATCACAGAGGCAGGAACCTGGATCATGGAAATCTTGGCTTAGAAAAGAGTCAAGAAACTATCTAAAAATACATACACCACCGTTCTCTGCTCTCAGTTGCTTTAAGCCAGGAATGTCTACTTTGATTTTGGAGGCCACATTGGCTAACATGCCAGCTTTCAGGGTCTGCCAACTCCCCACCCCCTCCCCGTTGTGGTGGCAAGCCATCAAAGCAGCCTCTGCCCCATTTGGCAGAATGCATCCGTGGCTGTAGCAGCCCTATGATGCCGAACGATGCTAGAATGTCTTCCTTCCCCCATAGAGCTCTCTGATACTGGGGAGCGAAGTGTTTCACAGGATTCCGCTATGCTTCTTAGGAGTTGTTTTGCTTGTTGTAGTGGCCACGGTTTTGGCATTGAGGCTTACAGAGTCGGAAACGTGCAGCGAGCAGTTACTCCTCCTTGCACTAGCCCAGCCCTCTGCCAAAGAGTGAAATCTCCAACCAAACCATCTGTGTGGCTCAGAACAAGAAAGAAAGCAATCCGAAATTCCAATCATGAAAGAGAAATGGAGAGGAAATCAGGGGGAATAGCTTTTGCCCTGCAGTTTAATCTAAAGAGTTGTATGAAATGAGAAAAATGAGGCTGGATCAAGATGTTTTGACAGTCGTTAGGCCCCTCCCTTGTAGGTTCGCCTGAAAAACCAACCTCCCTACCCCAAACGTCTTAATGTCCCTTACATAGATCCATGCTGTTTGCAGCCATAGAGGCACCTTTTACTATTTCATGCCTTTTGACATTGAAATGGCAAGATCATTGTTGATTTTCTTTTAAGTTTTGCTTGGTTTCAGTCACTGATTTAATCTCTCTTTCCCTCCCCCACTTCCTCCACGCCCCCCACCCTGTCTCTCTGTGCTTCGCTGGACATGGCCCTTAGGGGAGTTTTCAGGTGTGTATCTCTCCTCTGTTCAGATCCCTTGTTTATTTCCTTTTCTTCTGTTTTCCTCCCCCCCTTTTGCTCTTTTTTTTTTTAAAAAAATGGAATTATGTGGGTATACACATGTGATACTCCCCTGCTCGTGTCCAATCACAGTTGGCTTTGCGGATGTGGTCCTGGCTTTCTTTCATTTTGATTGGCTTTCACAACTACGGTTCCAAACCCTGTAGAACATTCTCTGCTTTCTCTACTCATGTCTGCTGCATCACGGGAAAGCTTTTTTCCCTAGCATCTTTCTACTGCAGTCTTCCTCCACTCTTTCTGCTTTAACCTTTCCCTGTTTGGGATCGAGGGTGTGAACCACGAAACCTACCCTGGATTTATGTCTCCTTTGAGCTGGGAAGTTTTTTTGTTTGGTTAGCTAGTTTGATTTTATATTTGAGGGCAAGCGTTGGATCCAAATTTTGAATTTGTATCCTCTGCTTGAATGGTAAATTGAAGATTGAGTGTTTCTTCATTTCACAAATTCCATTGGTTAGTCCCGGACCTTCCTCAAGAAGGCTTGTGGGCATCGAAGAATGATAAAGACTCAGTGGTTGTAGAATGGGAGGCTGAGAATCAGGTTGAGAAGGACTGTGTCGATCAGGAATACAGTGGTGCCTCGCATAGTGACATTAATCGGTGCAGCAAAAATTGCTGCAAAGCCATTTCATCGCTATGCAATTTTAAAAAGCCCATAGGAATGCATTGAAACCTCTTCAATGTTTTCCTATGGGCTTAAAACTTACCTTTAAGCGAAGATCCTCCATACGGTGGCCATTTTCACTGCCCGGTAAGCGTAGAATCCATCCCTAAACACAGCGGGTGGCCATTTTGGAACTGCCGATCAGCTGGGGGAAAATCATCGCTTTGCGATAATCGGTAAGCGAAACAGGGTACCGATCATCGCAAAGCGATTTTCCCCCATTTAAAACATCGCAATGTGATCGCAAAAGCGATCGCAAAAAGTTTGTCGGTATGCGATTTCATCATTAAACGGGGCACCCGTTAAGCGAGGCACCACTGTAGTTTTAGCTTTAAAAAGCAGTACGGGCCAAATAGCATCTTTCCTTGAAAGCCTAATATGGCTTTCATGGTTAGTGATGTATTTTAGGATTGGTTTTTATCAGTTCCACCTCCCCCAGGGAGTTTCTATGGTTGAGGGGGGGGGGAATTGAACCCAGTTCTCCAGAATCCTAGTCCATCCTTCTATCCACTACACCACTCTTGGTCCTAGCAGATCGTTAGGGAGAAGTAAAATGATGAGCTGGAGAGGGAAGAGTTCAGTGAGGCAAAGTTTAAACCAGGGCAGCCTTCTTGCTACCAGTGTTGGATTCTGTGTAGCTATGAAGCAGGAGCTACAAGCTAAGCGTAATGGATAAAGCCCTTCTGGATGGTCAGCTCCTAGGGTTACCACCCCAAAACAGTGTGTAAACATCCCATCTTCCTTTCAATAGCAGATTTTCTGTCGAAGGGAAAGAACATTGTTGAAATTGTGAGAAAATATGGCAGGGTTCCAAAGGAAGGAGGTATTGTCTGGGACACACAAAGACATCCTCTTTGCTGTTCTAAAATGGTGTGAAAGAAGCAGATTGATGTAATCATCTGGAAGCCGCCATATATTTTTCTCCACTGCTTGGAAAAGCGAGGTTTTTGGATTATTCCTGCCAGAATCCTGGAAGATTTGGGGAGCTAAAGTCCAAAAAAAGAGGAGACTTTTCTAGGCTCTACTTTTGTCATTAAGACAAGATATGAGAGGCCTTTCTAACCTTCCAGGTGAAAGAGGAACCAGCAGGCTGCAGCAAGAGTCCAAGAAGATGTTACTCTTCAGGAAATTATCTGCCCTCTGTCCCTTGTAGCTCAGTATGTGGGGCCACAGTGCATGGATCATTTTGTTCAGTTCTGAAGAAACATTGATGGAAGGAAATTTGTTTTAGGGAAGCTTTGCCTCCTGTAGCAACCTCGTCCATTTTACCTTATGTGAGAACAATGCATGACTTGTGGGTTGGGTGCAGACCTTCCCCATTGTAGGGCCCATGGAGCACACCTTCTCTCCAAAACAAAATGTTTAAAACATGAAGAATTATGCTGTAGGAAACATGAGCCTGTTTTAAATCAGAGTGTACAGCCTCTTGTGCATTGTCTTTTGAGTTTAACACATGGAAACTGTGTTTTATTCATAACCAGAAATGGACTTCCAGTGTCAGCAGGAAGAGATGTTACAGCCCACATTGGGTCCAGATGATGATGAATTAGTCTTAGGACAGATGAAAAATGACCCCAGCCCTGCTCTGTGCTCCTCTGGGGAAGCCATCTTGAAGAGGCGCATATTTAGTGCAATAGCTGATACTTGTGGCGAGACCCAACAAGGGCAGTGTTTGCATTATCATTTGCTGCCTCTCATGAAGCTAACGTTCATTTTAGACACCTGAATCAAAGCAGTCATATTAATACTTTAGCCCAAGTACCAAATTGATCAAACTGGTAGTCAACCTTGTAGCAAAAGGTAGGAAATAGGTTTTTGTGAGATGGTCCCTGCCAGGGAAGGCTTGGAAGACCTTCTGCCAGTTGGTGTCGGCTGGGTGAGGAGAGGCCTTCTAGACATTTTGACTAAGACTTCCCACCGTCTCTTAGGTACGGTCCTGCTTGGATTTTCAGGGGTCGATATAAACAACTTGTAGGGCATTGCAATGCCGGCACTGAAAGAAAGCTTCATGAATCCCTTCATGAAGGAAGCAGTTAGGATTTTCAGGGGTCGATATAAACAACTTGAAGGGCATTCCCTTCATGAAGGAAGCAGTTGGGGGTAGGGACCATATCAAGGAGAGACAGGGATAGCTTAAAACCAGAACTCATGAACATTCCTTTTTTGGACTGTAACTGGGATTCCCTAGCCAACATGGCCAGTAGCCATGATGGCTAGAGGATTCTGGGAGTAGTAGGCCAAAGCAGTAGTGCGGACTCTGCTTGGGGAAAAAAAAAGTTTTCCTCAGCCTGGTGTCCCAAGGATGTGTTGGACTTTTTCAGTCCTCCGTGCTCTGTGGCTCAGAATAGTTGGATAGTTATTGAAGAAGATGGGATTTTGTCATTGGAGAAGACAGGCTTTTTTTGGGGGGTGGGGTTTACTCCCAACCCAAGATGGATGCCCATTAGATCCATGGTTTCCAATCTTTCGTTTTAGAATTTACACCCAGGGTCCCTGGCTGTTGGCTATTCTGGCTGACCCTTCTGAGCCCTGAAGCCCATAATACTTGGAGAACCCACACTTGAGACCAACTCTCAAATGAATGCCTCAAAGTGGTGGCTGTTGAGGGGGGAGCAATTTCAAGCGGCCGTCCTTTTGAAAATCAGAAAGAGAGCATCCAGCAAAATTGCCCCAGCTTTCATTTCCCTGACTGCCACTCAACTGTCCATGCTGTCATTTTCGGTTACCTGCTGTGGCCATGTTAATCCCGAAGGGCCATTTCTTCATCAGTTTAGTGAATGACAACAGAACAGGACTTGCCTGCTAGTTCAGTGCCTTTAAAACTCTGAAACTGTCCTCCCTCTTTAGCGGAATCCAAGGAGGCAGACTGAGAATGGCTTTTTCTGCTACATAAACGGGTTTCTGCACACGTACATGCTAAAGAGAGCACCAGCATTTTGCTGTTTACAGATTTGTATTTAATTGTTGCTTTCTCTTTCTCTTTTCTTCCCCTTTCTTCTCTTCTTTGCCCTTATCTTTTTTCTATTCCTCCACCCCGAACCCTTCTTCTTTTCTCATATGGAATGACTTTCATAGTGCGGGATGATTTCTTTGGTAAGGCGAAGGCCATTTTTAAACATATGGGTGTTCCCCTCCCTGCTTTGTGTTCACTCAGCATCTTTTCATCATGTCAAGTTTTTTTTTTCTCCATCTGGGTTTTCTTGGGACTCATTTTTGTTCTTTTCCTGTCATGGTGATAATGTTGTTTTCTTAAAAAGAAGTAGATCATTCTTCAGTTGCCATTGTTTGAAAGATAAATCTCGTTTGTTTGGGAATGTCGGTGGTTATCCGCTTCGATGTTTCAGGCAACTCACAAGATGTGGGTCAAGGGATGTGGCTATGTGTAAGCTTTCCCTGATTATTTCTTCTTTGAACTGTTAACAACAACAACAACAAATTCTGTGCATTTTACTGAAGCAATTCTACCCCACAGACCCTGTTGTGATTTTGCTAGGAGTTGGGCCAGCAGTTCAAAAAGCGGATGTTAATATTTCAGAACTCTTATTTTAGAACAACTTCGTGTTCCAGGTGATGTGGCTATGTGTAAGCTTTCCCTGATTATTTCTTCTTTGAACTGTTAACAACAACAACAACAAATTCTGTGCATTTTACTGAAGCAATTCTACCCCATAGACCCTGTTGTGATTTTGCTAGGAGTTGGGCCAGCAGTTCAAAAAGCGGATGTTAATATTTCAGAACTCTTATTTTAGAACAACTTTGTGTTCTAGGTTGTTCTAAAAAATAAAATAGCTAGACTAGGAGTTGAATTGGGCTGAATGTGAACAGGGTCACTTTGAGGTGCGATATGTCATTTATGGTGTTTCTCGCATCCATATGCAACAAATGTGGTTTTAGGGCAGGAAACCACGCTGCCCTTCAACTGACCTTATTTAGCCTGTTCCTTTCTATAAAGGGAAATAGGGGGGAAATAGCAAAAAGAAAAAAGGATCCCCCCCTCTTGCTTTGTCCCCTGCTGTCTTCTCTTCTGTGGGGGAAAGCTGTAGTTTTTTTTTAAAGGATTTTTAAGAGGCATGGCACTGAATTGGTTTGCCAGTCAACCAAATCTGTGCTGGATAACATGGGATTTTAATTAAAGAAAAACCTTTGCATCCTCTTCTATTTCTTCCTTTGCAGGGTAGTGAGAGGAAGCTTTACATTTCTTAATAACTGGTTAGATTTTGAAGTGGCTTAAACAAAGCAACAGCCATACATCCACTGTGGTTTGATCCTGGCAATTGCGCATATCAGATCCAAACCAAAAAGCGAGCGATCCTACCCTTTAAAAACAGTGACTCATGGCAGGAACGCAAAAAGGTGAAGGTAGGGATTGTTAAGGGATGAGCTGGTTTGCAATAGCCGGTACATCGTGTCGTTGCTGGAAGAAGGAGTGAAACAGGCTGTTCCCAAAGTGGACCAAAGAGCAGGACGAAATGCTATCGGATCTCACTCTTTGTCTTTTCTCCCTGAATGGCCAACTTCCAACAGTGAGAGAACAAGTTATTCATGGTTTCTTCCCAGCCTAGTACAGTTATGTCACGGGAAATTTACTATGTACATTTTTTTTTAAAGGTGAACCTTGCAACTCTCTAAAAAACTCAAATCAAGAACCAGGCCACCAGAAGTAGGAAAAGCTGACCTATAGACTTCCTTTTTTGGGCTCCATTTCCTAGAATTCTGCCTGAGGGATTCTTGCTGACTTCTGGGAACTGGAGTGAAAAAAAAAATCTGAAGGTCTCATACCCGATAAGATTTGTTTTCTTGAGAAGCTTAGAGAAATGCATGTACAGTACCATGCAGCATAAGTACCTGCCTTGGTAAGCCCCATTCCCTTGGGGGCAAACTGTCCCTATAAATATTCATTTCCTGCAGTACTTTTATCCTGGCAGATGGGCCCTGACTTTCTCAGTGGTTGCAAAGATGCCTCAACAAGATGTCTTCCTGTGTTGAAGCCGCTAGGATTGCCAATTGCCTCTAGAACCAGCATCAGAAGGTCAGCATCTTTGCCACAGGGCACTTCCATACAGCCCTGCGGTTCCAAGTCTCATAACCTTGCTGCTCTTTCTTCCACGTCTTTCTGTCTCCTTTGCGAGTGAGCAGACGGAGCAATATCCTCTGTTTTGCACCCTCCCTACTGGGCACTCGAATGTATTCATTCTAGACAGCCAGGGGGTGCTTGGACATCTGGTGTTTTGGACTGTAGCTCCTAGAATCTCCCTATGGGAATGGTCACTGACCATGCTAATGGGTAGATTATCAGAGCTGTTGTCTAAAAAGTCCTTTCCCCCTAATCCATGGACAGTGGCAAAGAGAAGGGGGCTAATTCAAAGGGATCTTGCAAATTATGCCTTACATCTCCTTTTGTACGGAGGCTCCCTTCCTCAGCATCCGACAGTATCTGTTTTGCACCTGGCTCTACTTAGTGGACTTCCGTGTTCCAGTAAAAGATCACTGTAAATCCCAGCATCCTGAAGTTTGTCCAAGATATATTGTGTGCTAAAAAATAAATCAGGTTTCATAATGAGAAACGTGATTTTTTCTCATTCATAATGAGAAATGTGATTTATAGGTTGAACAGCTAACATGGCCACTGGCATATTGTTTGCTGGATCTGAGAGTTGTAGTCCAAAAAAGTAGCATTTTCCCATGTCTACCGAGGCTTCTTGCAGATGCACTAACTGGGCAACCTGCATGAGTTGTGGATCTCTGCTGAGTGTCCACGCCATGAGATACCTAGATTTGGAGCTCACTATCCATTGTGTGGAGAGCTGACAGTTTGCTGCTAACACACTAGAGTATTTACTCTCTTGTTCCAGAGTTAGATGTGAATGCTTACGCAAAGTTTGCAGATGAATGACACGCAGACCTCTTGTTGTCTGAAACATCAAAAGGGATTTGCCCCTTCCTTTCCTACTGACTGTCGTGTTGTTCTCATCCCTCCCCTCTCCCGGGATATGACTGCTGCTGCTTCTCCATCCTTGTTGGAAAACTTGCCTTGACCGTCCATCTGTTCATTCCATCTCATTGTGGGAAGAAGGTCCGTGTGCTGGCCTGGTGTATCGTGATGTGTCCTCACTCTTTGTACTCTGCCATGATTCTCTCTTTTTTTGACTTTTTATTTGCCTTGACTATATGTTTGCCGTCATCCTCCAAAAGCAGGCTGAATGATCAGCAAAATAATGTTTCTCTACACAGTGTGAAGTGAAAGGTAGTTTGAATCTAGGAAGGAGATGATAACCGCTGTTGCATGATGCCAAGATTTTTGCTCCCATTGATCTCACATTAAGCAAGACAAGTCAGATTATACATTCCATTCTGTGGTGAGTTGCTAGTCTGGATTACATCCAGTAGGAAGCCTGAGACTCTTCAGGGTCACCATTACTGAAGAGTAATGTCACCATCATCAGTGGTGGGGAAGCATGGGAGTTGTAGTTCAGTAACATTTAGAGGGCCAGATCCCTGGCCCCCTCTATTTTATAGGGTCAGCATTTGAGAGAAGGACTCTCCTTAACTTCACAAGAACCATCCTCTGAGGTTTTGCGGTGTAGTGAAAATTTGAACCCCCCAGTGCGTGTTCCATATTCTTTCTGTTTATACCACAGTGGCCCAATTCGCTCTTTCCTGCTTTCTGTTCTACATTAACAACATTCATGCCCAAAACAGCTCCAAAAGGTTTTGAAAGGCACTTTTTATATGCAGCCCAACGGGCCTTCATTGGTAAGCAAGTCTTCAATATGTTCAGGGAAGTAAGCATGCTTAGGATTGCAGTCATAAGAGGAACCTGGCAAATGATCAAACTCTGGTTTCCTTAAGCTCCTAGGTAGCCAATGACTGAGTGGGAAATTCCGGTATTTGTAGCCCAGTCTTCCTTGTCCCATTCCATGCTCCATTCCATAAGTTCTCAGGCTTTCTTAGAACCCAGTTAAGGAGATCTCCTTACCGCCTTGTGCAGTTATAAGCCCGTAGTCATAACCTTGATGGAGGTAGCAAGCTAGAAGTCACTGGTACAGCGTTATCCTTCTGATCCAGGTATTGTTTGGCCAGACCCAATCCTGTGGATTCTTCCTCTGCACCTAACCACAACGGACCCTTCACAGCCGGTTTCTTTTTCTTTTCAAATGAAAAATATCAAGCCCATAACTCTTTGAACAAGAGGGAGAGTTTACGGTGTCGTTGCATCAAAACGTACTGTGTGAGGTACATTAATGAGATTTTCCAGGCAAATAGAAGTAGAATAAACATTTTAAGGATTGATCAGGTCACTGTCGAAGAGAGAGCCACATGCACCATGTGGCGTACTGTGTGAGGTACATTAATGAGATTTTTCCAGGCAGATAGAAGTAGAATAAACATTTTAGGGACCGATCAGATCATTGTAGAAGACGGAGCCACACATATCATATGGTGTGATTCCAAAGCCCTCTGAAACAGAGAAATTCCCACCTCTGGCCAGATCCATCTGCCTGTTCCCTGGGAGTCTAGTGGATGGAGTTGAGGGGCAGAGGAAGGAGAAGAGAAAGAAAGGAAGGGAGTGACAGAGAGAGAGAGGGAGAGAAAAAGAGGGTTGCAGAAGGGCTAGGAAAAGTGGAGCTTCTGCCCACTTGCTCACGGTGACCTTAAGCCCCATCTAGAGTTTTAGAAGAATCACTTTTTTGGACGACAATTCCCGGAATCCTGCAGCCAGGACTACCAGGCCCTGCTGCCCCAAGGAATTCTGGGAAGTGTTGCCCCAAAAAAATAACTTTCCCAGCAGCGGTTCCATCCACCACAGCTGGATGTCCTCTGAAAGATTCTTCCGAAGGGAATGCTGTCCTCAGTAGAAAACAGCTGTCTCTTCTGTGCCAAATTCTGGAGGAGGTCTCGGTGTTTGAGGGAATGGGTCTGTCTTGTCTTTCCAGAAATGTTTGTTTTTCTTTGGCGATTTCAAGTAGGCAGATTGCTCTTTGCACTGTGCAGCAAAACATATCCTTGCGGGCTTACGAACCACGGGTCTGCTTCTCCTAAGTGAGAAGAATTTGGCCAGAACGATCTTGAATTTTGTCTGTTGCAATTCAAAAACCTTGTGCCATCTTTTTATTATTATTATTTTTCTTTTCCCCCTCCCAGGGATGGGCAAAGAAGTGGGGAATCTGTTGATGGAGAACACACAGCTGCTGGAAACAAAGTAAGGCACCCCTGATTGGCAAAAGTTTTTGCTTGTTCGCTCTCCTGTTCTACATGCGTATGATTGAGCCCTTGCGAGATCTGCATGCTGCCGTTTGGATCATTCACTTTTCCTTGGACAACCGAGCTCACCGCCTGGTCTTGCTTTGGCAAAAGCTGCAGAAAAGTAACATTCGGGGGTCACCCTTCATCCTGCAAAAACTTGCCTTTATCATGTTGTAATTTTGGGGAAATCTGTAAAACTACATTCTTATGTATATAGAGGCAGACAATGTTTTAATTTCTGATGAGGTCATCAGGTCCTCCATTGCAACAAAAACAGCAGGCTGCTGCACCCTGAAGGCTAATAGATTTATTATAGCAAATACTTTTGTGGATGGAAATCTGCTTCATGTACATTAAATGTCAGTTCTGCATAATTTCAAGGATAGAGGTGATGCATGGTTGAGAATGAGGCTGTATATAGAGAATGTAGAAGAAAAAGAAATGCAGAAAAGTATTGATTATGTGATTAACTGGCCCCACACTGTTGTTGATGAACAGAGTTTAGGAAAGTTATTTTTTTCAGTCTCCAGCTCCCAAGATCTGCCAGTTAACATAGCCACTGGGGATTTGGGCAACTATAGCCCTCCAAGGCAGTGTTCAAGAGCCCTTTTAAACAGTCCTGGCACAAGGTAAGACAGTTAGCACATGAAGCCAGCTTAGGGGCTTGTGACACCTTCCAAAATTTTGGTGAGACACCTTATTGACTCAGTCCACCAGATGGAAAGAAACTATGATCTCAATCCAGGTCTCTTTTGATACACTAGAATTCCTAATGAATTGCAGCTCAGCTATTTTTTAAATGGTGTTAAGTGGACTGAGTGGTTTCAGAGAAGTGTCACTTCTAGTAGTGTTGCAAGAAACAGGACAGTGCTGCTGTCTTGATTAGTGTAGGCATCATCGTCTACTGGGGCAGCAGGCTGCCTGCTCAAACGCTCCCCTCCTCCACTCGACTGTCCTTATGACCAAAAAGCAAGGAGATTATTTGAAAGCCTAGAAGGGGGCATGTGCTCTGGCTGCATGTTTCATTTTCTTGCAGTTCCCTCTCTGGGATCCCAGGTGGGAGGAGATAGTGGAGCATCTATGCGTTTTGTTGGGTGGCTTGTCTACTACCAATTCACCCCGCGATATGCATAAGAGTTTCGATTTGAAAGTCATGTGACAGTGACATGGTACATGAGTTGCTGTCCGTGTGTCCTTGAGATCGTGGTTAAGGTGTTGCATTTTTACACTGCTCTTCTTGGGAAAACCTTTATACATTTTAAGCTGTGTTGTAGGGCAGTGGTCCCCAACCTTGGGCTTCCAGGTGTTCTTGGACTTCAACTCCCAGAAATCCTGGCCATCACAGCAAGTGGTGAAGGCTTCTGGGAGTTGTGGTCCAGGAACATCTGGAGGCCCAAGGTTGGGGGCCACTGTTGTAGGTGGGCTGCACAGACTTCTAAAATTGTTTCATTTGAAGCTTGCCCACTCTGCCATCTCCCTGACCACCTGCCCCAGTTGCTGGAGTGAGTTGAGGGAGGGGAGAGAGAGGGCTAAGCTCTTAGATCGCTTAGTGGCTTCTGTCCACTAGAGCAGTCGGGCAGGGAGTAATTTTTGGCAGGAGAACAGGGCACGTGGGTCAATTCAAGGCATTAAACCCGTGATTCAGCCCCCAGCTAAAGTAAACAACCTTGCTGGGAGGAAATTAAATGATACACTTCCAAGCATGAGTCCAAGAGAGAGAGAAAACAACCCAAAATCCACTGTGCATTGTATGATAAACTTTTTAAACATCGATCCAATTGCAGCTAAACATGGTTCATATGCCAGTTCTTCTACAGTACAAGTATAATCAGGATCATAAGCAAGCCAGTAGGGTGCTGTGGCTGAAACCTCTCCCCGATGATAATATGGCCTCTGAGTTTAGAGCAGAAACGTTTGGACCAAAACTCTCCTGTAAGCAGCATACAGCCACTGTTCAAGCTGCCTGCCGGATTCTGAGAATCATAAGCCAGAAAAGTAACTTTTTCTGAGCTCTACCTTGGGGACCAGGTGGATTGGCTTTCAAGGAGTGGTGCAGTGAGTCCTCTGTCCAAGGCCCAATCCAACATCAAAATACCATTTGGGTTTTTGGCTGAGGTGCTGAATGAGGTCTTGTCTATTTCGGGGTCAAGCAACCATCTGCTCACCCATTCGTATCACTTCGTTCGTGTGTTGGTCAAAGTTTTGCAAAGTTTTTTTAATTAAAGACAGCAAACTACTAGACCTATTTACTTGCTCCTACTTTCACCCTTGGCAAACACCGTGGGTCAGCGATAGGCTCCTCTTTCAAATCATGGCAACTCTCTGGAAAAGCTGCCCACCTTCAGCTCCTTCGGCAGCTGAGTCTTTGGGTCTCCACATGTTGATCAGCCACTTCCATTATCTCCAATTAATGACCCTGTTCTCTTGAGAGGATAGGAATGATAGTTAAAACCTGTCTGGGAACCCACAGTTGGGAAACGTTGCTAGACAGCCTGCTCTGCTGTCATTTATTTGCTGCACTGGCATTTGATGTGAATGGTTCTCTTGTAGGATAATGTGAATTTTCTTTAAGCCAAAAAGCCCATTATTGAGCGGTTTGAGCCTCCAGTCTGCCACCTCCAGTTCTTCCCTATTTCAGTGAGGGATGCTTCCTCAGATGTTTTAATAATATCATGTGAACACCTTCAAGACTAAAGACTTCTTTCCTCTTCTCTTGCTTTTCACTGCTCTGAAGAAATGCTTTGAACATAGTGAAGAATGATTTAATTGCAAAAGTTGACCAGCTCACTGGGGAGCAGGAAGTGTTGAAAGGAGAGCTGGAAGCAGCAAAGCAGGCGAAAGCCAAGATGGAGGCCAGGATCAAGGAACTAGAGGAGGAGCTGAAAAAGTGAGTCTCTCTCTAACTCCTGTCCAAGTGAGTCTCTCTCTAACTCCTGTCCAAATGTCTTCTTGGCTGGAAGTCTCTCTGTGTCTAACAGTGGCAAAAGAAGCAGCATATTGGATCAAGTGTTTCTAACTTTTAAAAAAAAGGTCAATTAAAAGAGACAAGAAAGGGGCTCCGGTTTTGAGACTGTTGGAAGAATAGAGGGTGTTTTTAATTTGAAGTTTGGAAAAGTTAGTTTCCCAGAGTACAGCTTCAAGAACCCAGCACTAGTTCTTTAATAGATTTCCATTTCTGAATTCTTTTGTATAGCATGTGATTTAGCTATTCATGAATTCTTTTATATAAGATATAATATAGGTGCCTGACGTACACAGATCTGGCCCGTGATCTTAGCCAGCAAAATATGGGGATGCTCAAAGAAGTAGTGTGTGGGGGACTATAAACAGGATCTCTGAAAAGATTTTTGGTTGGGATTGTTGCAGATCTTAGATCTCTGTTCAGAGGATAGAAAATGTACCATGTCCTCGGTTTTATAGCATCTCGCAGGGTAATGTCCACCTGCACCATGATGGTCCATGTAACATCCCTGGATCTCTTTCAGCTGTCATGAGTTCAGTCTGCATTGACCGTATTTTTCCGTGTATAAAATGACACTTTTTTCCTAAAATCATTGGAGGAAACATTGAGGGTCATTTTGTACATGGAAGGAGGCAAAGGAGCAGCCGTGCTCAGCCGCCTCTCACAGCTGCGCATTGACTGCTGCCGCCACCGTCTGATCGCCACCGCCTCCTGCCAGGGCTCACCTCCAGCGCACGTCGCCGCCTTGTCCCCTGCCCGAAGGGAGCCTGCGAATGGCGCTGGGGGAGGCGATCTGGCGGCGGCGGCAGTCAATGGGCAGCCGTGAGAGGCAGCCAAGCATGGCTGCTTCTTTACCTCCGTCTCTGCCACCTCTTGCTGCTGCCTCTGCCACTGGATGGCCTCCTCCAGCACCATCGCGGGCTCCCTTCTGTCATGGGACAAGGTGGCGATCTGCTGCCTCCGCCACCAGATGGCCTCCTCCAGCACCACTCGGGGGCTCCCTTCGGTCACGGGACAAGGTGGCGATGTGATTGGGCAGCGGAGGCAGCAGGAGACGGAGGCAGAGCCGCCCCTCGCGGCTGCCCATTCACTGCTCCTCTGCCTCTGCAAGGGACAAATTAGGGGATCGTCATTCACATCGGGGGGTCTTATACGCGGAAAAATACAGTAGTTAGCAGGTGTCTCAGCTCATGTGTGTTAATTGGGGACAGATGTGGTGGCAGTTTTCCAAAAGGCCAGGAAAAGCCTTTGTGTATCCTATTGAACCTGCAGGTGAATGGCATTTTGAAATACTCTTTGAGCAGCACTTGTTGCCCTGAACTGTTTTACCTCTCTTACATATCTTGTGTGATATCCCTGCATTTCCCTCATGCACTTCCTGTGCCAAGTGGAGAAAAAATGGTTTGGTCTACTGGTCAAGAGCTGATGGCCCAGGTGTTAAATGTCGTCCATCAGAAGTACGACAGTCGCCAGTTCAGGGTAGAAAACAGGAAGAGCCACCTGTGGGTCTACCCGTCCTGTTCCAGACCTGGGCTGTCACTGTGGCCCTAAGACTTCAGCCTCAACCACGATGTAGTGTCCTGTTCTTCTTCCCCCTTTTAATTTCGTTTTCATATGTGGGCACTAGAACCCATTGATTGCTGAAGAGCCTGGCTGTGTCTGCTGTTAAAGAGGGATGCCCAGGGAGCCTCTGCTTTTGATTAACTCTGTGTACTCTCTTTTCTAGAGTGAAATCAGACGTGATTTTTAACCGCCGAGAGACCAAAGAAGAGGTCGAGGATGTAAGCAGCTATCTCTGTACAGAATTGGTATATTACATTATTAAAATGCCTGGGGAAGGAGGGTTTCTTTCTTCTGGGGGGGAGGGATCCTTCCTGGTTTATTTCCTTGACTTCCAGTTGTAAGCCTTAACCAGTGGCAGGGTTTCTGTTTGAATATTCGTTTGTTCACAGCTACCACTATTTGGCTTTGACTAATGAGCAGACTAGGGGTGCCAGTGCAGGTTGTTTAGTGAGTAAAGTTGTGCTTATAGATTTGATACTTTCTGCGCCCTCGTTCTCGAGTGCATTGCCCTGAAGCCAACTCCGGGAGAAAGCTGGAAGAAGCTGTGTCTCCTGGGTTCACTAGGGTATCTTCTGCATCCAGACAAGCTTAAAAAGAAGGGTGATGCAGGCCATGTGAAGTAGAAAAAACATGTGAAGTTCCCTGTCCTGTCTGACCATCACTGAAGATTTTTAGCTTTGCCGCTAATGACTAGGTTGAAAATGTGTGCCCTATTCCAGCTCAGCTTCACTCATCAGTGGCTGCCTGGCTACCTGATCCGCAGTCCACCAGACTTGAGTACTCAGTGAAAGAGATATACAGTGGTGCCTCGCAAGACGAATGTAATTTGTTCCGCAAGTAGCGCCGTCTTGCGAAAAAATCGTCTTGCAAAAAGCGGCTTCCCATAGGAATGCATTGTAATGCATTCCTATGGGAACCTCACAAGACGAGTGAATTTTTTTCATCTTGCGAGGCATCGGTCTTGGGGGGGAAAATCATCTTGCGAAGCACAGCCATAGAAGAAGCCATCTTAAGAGGCACCATAGCGATCCGGAAAAAACATTCATCTTGCAGTTTTTTCGTCCTGTGAAGCATTCGTCTTGCGAGGCACCACTGTAGTTCCAAACTGTCCTCTCCGTGCCACCTGGTAGCCAATTAGATCTCCAGGGAACTATTTAGATCAGTGGTTCCCAGCCTTGGGTCTCCAGATGTTGCTGGACTAAAACTCCCAGAAGGTTTCATCACTGGCCGGGCTGGCCAGGATTTCTGGGAGTTGTAGTCCAAGAATATCTGCGGGCCACAGTTGGGAACTACTGATTTAGATGATAGTTGTGACGGGGCAACTTGGCTACTGTGGTTGAAAGAGGCTAAGGCTTCCACTGCTTAACTGCTTTTCCTGCTTGCTGTTCATCTCATGTCTGGATTATCTTGTACCAAGAACCAATCCGATTTTTGATCTCGTTATGCTGTTGATACAAGACGCAGACACTGCTAGTTCAGGTTCAGATTTGCCTTTTCTTTAAGAGAGCAGGTGAAGACAGGTATAACAGTTCAGAGTGGCAGAAAAGCCAATTATCCATGGGTGACTGGAAACAGTACTTTCTAATTTGGGGGACTGTCTTGCGGTGGAAGCTCATGGGTTAGGAAACTGGTTGCTGTCACCCTGACATATGAACGGCAGAGAGGGAGCTGAGTAGTGATGGGCACGAACCTCAGTTTGGAGGTTCGTGCTGGTTCGTAGGCGCAGCAACACAGGTGCCACGTGTTCCTTCTCCCACCTTCCCAGCCGATGCTCCATTCACCAGTCAGAGCACGTTCCTCTTCTCCTCTTCTTTGACCAGTCCCCAGCAGGAGCATGGGCTTGCCTGTCCTGCTCCTTGTCTGAGTGGATGATCAGCCAAAGAGGCGGGGCAGGGAAGCCTGTGCTCCTGCCGGGGACTGGTTGAACAGCCAAAGAGGAGGAGGAGGAGGAGCGCACGCCCACTGGTGAGTGGGGGATCCAGCCGGGCGGGGAGAGAAATGGGATGCGCAGCACCTGTCGTGGTGCATGTACAAACTGGCACAAACCTCCGAAACAAGGTTCATCCCCATTTCTAGAGCTGAATTTTTTGTCAGCTCTGACTCTTTCTACAAACCTCCGAAACAAGGTTCATCCCCATCTCTAGAGCTGAATCTTTTGTCAGTTCTAACTCTTTTATGATAGTTTTAGGCTGTTTGGCTAATGAATTGGATATCAACTCATGAAAATTAATAGGTTATTTCCAGAGAATGGAGGAAATGTATAGGCATGTAGTGCAAATGCACCCCAAAAAGGTTTTTGAAGGGAAAGTGAGGTAACTGTCTGAAGCACAGAAGGAGAGATGATATATTGTACGTCTGAATTCAGAAGCTGGGGAAGGTCTTCCTTGGCTGCTACATTTTCTCACTTTTAGTAATCCTGAACTTCTTGCATTCTATTGTCCTGTTTCCAAATTGGGCTCGTCTCAAAGTTTTTCATGTAAGGCTTTAATATGGGTTGACTAACATACAGTATGCATTAAAATTGGGAGACTAATTAGACCTGGATACTAACTTGCATGTCTTAGAGGCTGCTAAAAAAACTATGCGTCTTTTTTGCTTTCTGCGTCTCCTCCCTATGGGACGTTTTCTTGCCGCAGGATTCTCCTTAGCTAGAATTAGAAGCCATCTGATTCGAGACGGGCGGGGTGGAAGAGAGAGAAGTTACAAAAATCAGGAGAGAAACTAACTTTTATGACTTTAGTTTTCTGGATTTCCCCTGTACTAACCTCCGTCCCCTTCCGTTTCCCACGGTTGAAGCCATCCTCCTCCCCCCTGCAGGACAACATCCCCATTGCCCAGCGACGACGGTTCACTCGTGTGGAGATGGCCCGGGTCTTGATGGAGCGCAACCAATACAAAGAAAGGTTGATGGAGTTGCAGGAGGCAGTCAGGTGGACAGAGATGATCAGGTAATGATGGTTTTTTGTTTTTTTGTCATGGCATAACATCTTCAGAGGTGGACTGATAAATCTGAGCGTTCGTCACAATGGTCCGCGTAGCCAAGAACCCAGGAAGAGTCCAAAAAGAGCAATTAATAACATATATCCATAGCAGCTAAACAAATAGTTTTCATCTCAACGAGCAGGTCTTTTGTGAAGCTAATGGTTCTTAAGTAATATTCACAGAACCCAGGAAGAGTCCAAAAAGAGCAATCAATAACATATATCCATAGCAACTAAACAAATAGTTTTCATCTCCTCAACGAGCAGGTCTTTTGTGAGGCTAATGGTTCTTAAGTAATATTCAAATGCAGTAGGACACCCCCCCATCCACATGGATTGGTTCCAAGCCCCCCTCTGTGAATGCTGAAAATGACAAACATTATTCATAGTGCAGGAAAAGAAAAAAATCCAGATAGATACCTTGACTTACGAACGTCCCTATCTACGAACATTTTGACATACAAACGGCTCCGTTTGCAGAAATTGGCATCGACTTGCGAACAGAGCCTCGACCTACGAACGAAAAAAGGCAGGGGAAAAGGGTGGGAAATTCAAATTTCCCACCCTTTCCCCCTGCGTTTTTGCCTTCGGACGTCTCCAAGGGCTTTCCCCCCGACATCAGAGGAAGCCCTTTGAGACCTCTGAAGGCAAAAAGGCAGGGGGAATGGGCAGGAAATTCGAATTGATACGGGGTGAAACGATGAATACGGGAATCCTACAGAGCTTACTTTTCTTCTTTTTCTAAATGAACACCCAAATGCTGGAATACAAACAGCCTTGGTCCACAGAATTTAAAAACTTGAGGAGTTATTTTTAAATGGATACCACGAAGCTCCAGATAATTAATTCTATTTTGTAGCCAAATCTAGTTGTTAGTCTCAACTAGAGTAGACTTTTGACTCATTAAGCCTTTGGCTCATTCATACTTTCCATTCTTCCAATAAGTTTCACTCTTTCTGTAGTTTACTCTAACTGACATGGGTGGTGTGGGATTCTTAAGACTTATAACCTGGAACAATCTACCTCCTGAGATTCGCGGGGCTCCCTTGCTGGGTATCTTTAAGAATCAACTAAAGACATGGATGTTTCGGCAGGCCTTCCCATCAGATAACTCCTGACGCCTTTTCTCCCCCTTTCATTGTTTCTTTTCTGTGTAATCAACTAGAGTAGACTTTTGACTCATTAAGCCTTTGGCTCATTCATACTTTCCATTCTTCCAATAAGTTTCACTCTTTCTGTAGTTTACTCTAACTGACATGGGTGGTGTGGGATTCTTAAGACTTATAACCTAAAGCATTAATCTATCCAAGTCTTTTGTTCCAGCCACTTCATGGTTTGTTGCTTGCCAGTCCTTCCTGCAAAAATAGGCCTTGTTAAACCGTGTCCTTGAGGAACTTTCTGTTCTCTTTGTTCCACAGAGCTTCGCGGGAACATCCTTCTGTTCAGGAGAAAAAGAAATCAACAATTTGGCAGTTGTAAGTAAGGTCTTTGCTGCTTATGACGATCCAGAAGTGGTAAGGCAAGGTGCCTTTCTGAGTTAGCGGCTGAAGCCACAATAACTGTACCAGACCCTTTTAAAGAAGGAAATGGGGTTCATAAATACGCTGGGTATGAATTTGGGTACTGTCATGGTGACTGGACATTCTTGTCACTTAAATCTGGGTGTTTTTGCATTGCACCATAAGGGAGAGGGAGAGAGAGAGACAGAGGAGATGCCACTTTCACTGGTAAAGGCCAGTTCATAGAGATCCCTTTGGAGAACTGCCAAAATAAACCCGTCCATGTTGATCCACATTGACAGGGGCTCTCTGAGCCGGATCCACCAGATCAACATACGTTCGGCGATTTGGCCATGGAGAGAATTTCAAAATGGTAATTCCAGACCCACCAGCTAACCCTAAAGCTAGAGTGGGCAGGATTTCCCTATCACACCCTTTTGCAAAGGGGGGGAGAGAATAGAACTGATTAAGGAAATAAGAAGCCATTGCAATGCATGCTTCATTGTCGCTAGCAATCTCTTTCTGTCATCTTCTTGTCTGGTGCTGACTTTCTAAGCACTAGCCCGGTGTGGGCAATGCGCGGATAACATCACATCCCCCAGCAGATGCCACAGCTCCCACCCTCCTTGTGCATGCTTCATTGTCGCTAGCAATCTCTTAATGTCATCTTCTGGTCTGGTGCTGACTTTCTAAGCACTAGACCAGTGTGGGCAATGCGCGGGTAACATCACATCCCCCAGCAGATGCCGCAGCTCCCACCCTCCTTTTTCTCTTGGATTTTAACATAAAAGGTTCAAGGAGGAATTGCAGATCCCGGAAGCTTCTCGGACTGGCAGTTCTTAGGGAGAGGAAAGCATGGTGCTTCGTATTAGTGAAAAGTTTTATTTTTTCACTTTTTTTTGAGGGGAAAAGTGGAGTAAACATTTGAGTCTCTCCGGTCTTAAAAATCTAAAAAATGAGGTATGGTTTATATCTTGTATCAGGGTGGATCAAGATTAAACCACCACCCCATCACACTAAACTTGCTGATCCCTTGCTGAGCTGATCACTTCCATTTAGAGATGGGCGTGAACTGCACTTTGGTGCTTGGCTGCGGTTCAGGAGGTTGGACCCACAAGGTTGTGTGTGGGTACCCTGGATTCTCCACCTTGCCCTCTGAGTGGGTGTCTGTGGGGAGAAGGTGGGGGGGGGAAATCCAGGGCACTCTCGCAACACCTGTGAGCCGCATCCGCTGAACCGTGTGCCAGCCTGCAATCTGCGCCCATCTCTACTTCCATCTAATAATTGCCAATCTCTGTTTCAAGTCGCAGTTCTGCACATCTTTCTTTCCTTCTTTCTCTCCAGCTTCAGCCGCCTATTCAGCTCCTCCTCCAGCCCTCCACCAGCAAAGAGGAGTTACCCGTCAGTGAACATACACTACAAATCTCCAACGGCGGCTGGGTTCAGCCAGCGCCGCAGCCACACCATGTGCCAGATCTCTGCTGGGAACCGTACCCTTGAGTTCTTCCCCGATGAGTGAGTTTATCATCTGCTTCAGCTCGTGAGCCTGCTTGGCTGAAACCGATGCTGTGGCTCTAAAATGCACGCTGGATGAATGCAGGCAGGGCGGTACAGCTGGAAGTGTAGTGAACTGGAATTAGCTCCCTGATGGGCTCAGTTTTCTTATCCGTTTTTTATTTCACCCATGTTCTTTATTTATTTTAAGAAATTGCATTTCACACTTCTTCGGGTTAGATGTCAGGGTATCAGGATGCATGGGGGGGGAAGGGAATGGTTGACTGGCTAGAAATCTGAACAAGAAAGTTTCTGAAAAAAGGTGAGACATACAATATTTTGTTGAAATATTTTGCTGCAGGGCTACTAGTTTTCAATAATTAGCCAAATGCTGTGAAGTGGATTGGAACCACAATAACAAAAGGGCACAGATTTTTCCCAGTGTGTCCCTGCCTAATCAGAGGCTCAAATCCTGCAGCCTTCTTCCCTGCTTGGTGTTTGTTTTTTGTCGGAATTTCCTCTCTTGCTGTTTCCACCACCACCACCCTGCTGCCCTGGCAATGCTTCCTTGACCTTCTGCCTCTTGTTTCTTAACGGTAGATTGAGAAGTAACACTGTTGCATCTCTCCTCAGTGACTGCACGTCATCCGCGCGCCGCGAGCAGAAGCGCGAGCAGTACCGCCAGGTCCGGGAGCACGTGCGGAATGATGACGGTCGCTTGCAGGCTTGTGGGTGGAGCCTGCCCGCCAAGTACAAGCAGGTAAGGGTTTCCTGGAGGGCGGGAGCCGGATCAGCCAGTCACACCACAGAGACACCTTCTAGTGGAGAGACAACTTGTTTCTTTTTCTCATACTCACCTTTTTACATTAAATATGTGCTAATGATCCTTGGAACAGCGGTGCTGTCTTGTAGGTAAGCCTTCAGAGGGTATTTGGCAGCCAGAAATACCTGATATGTATTTAATTAATTTGCTCTTCAGAGCCTACTTCAGTTTTTGCTTATTTGTTTGTCTCTTGTGCCTCCCACACATGGATTAATCTTGTGCCTGTGCAGCAGAATCTTAAAGCAAAAGCATTTTGTGGGATCCCTGCCCACCCACCCTTAACGGGAAATACATGGGGCTCCTACCTTCTCCTCAGTTTCTTTTTATCATCCACATAGTCAGTGACATCTTTGAACAATTCCACTGATAGTTCTGGGCTTGGCCTACCTTTTCTGCCCCATCCTTTCGCTTACCCTCCGATTCTTGAGGGCTTGGTCTTCACAGCTTTCCCGACTCAACTCTTTGAATGTGCACCACGCCAACCTTCTTAATGAAGTGCATTTGGTGGGGGAACAAGATCCCTCAAACAGAGGGCTACTGGGAGTGCCTGTTCTGTCTAGAAGAGAGTGGATTTTTGTTCTCAAGTAGAAGCAAAATTTAGCAAATGGAGCTGTTCTTAAGTGGAATTGTTCTTAAGTAGGGACGTTCTTAAGTAGAGACCCCACTGTATTTGGCAGCCAAAAATACCTGATATGTATTTAATTACTTTGCTCTTCAGAGCCTACTTCAGTGTTTCGCTTATTTGTTTGTCTCTTGTGCCTCCCACACATGGATTAATCTTGTGCCTGTGCAGCAGAATCTTAAAGCAAAAGCATTTTGTGGGATCCCTGCCCACCCACCCTTAACGGGAAATACATGGGGCTCCTACCTTCTCCTCAGTTTCTTTTTATCATCCACATAGTCAGTGACATCTTTGAACAAGTGCACTGATAGTTCTGGGCTTGGCCTACCTTTTCTGCCCCATCCTTTCGCTTACCCTCCGATTCTTGATGGCTTGGTCTTCACAGCTTTCCCTACTCAACTCTTTGAATGTGCACCACGCCAACCTTCTTAATGAAGTGCATTTGGTGGGGGAACAAGATCCCTCAAACAGAGGGCTACTGGGAGTGCCTGTTCTGTCTAGAAGAGAGGTCCATATCACAGAAATGTGATGTCACTGCTAGAACTTGCCAGAGGAGTGAAGGGGAATCACCTCCCCACTCATGCTTTGGTTCCTGTGCTTGGTACGTAAGAGGCGGAGAGCATCCCTCCTGTCTCTACCAAGCTGTTCACTGACATGTGTGCGACACCTTGTTGCTACTGGTAACCAAGCGGATGCTCAAATACAAGACTGTTTTAATGACTATGTGTGCATTTTCTTCATTGGATATTGGAATCATCGAATCATGGGGTTGGAAGGGGAGCCTCTAAGGCCATGGAGTCCAACCCCCTGCTCAAGACAGGAATCGAAGCAGATCGGACAGAGTGGGGTCCCATTTACTCTTGAAGGCCTCCAGCCTTGGAGCGCTTGCCACCTCCCGAGAGAATTGTTTCCACTGTTATACTCTAAAATTAAGATTTTTTTTGGAAGAGTTAGCCCTGTTCGTCTGTGCAAGCATATCAGGCAAAAACTGAAGAACCGGAAGAAAGCAAAACAAAATTTTATCTGTTTTCATGTAAGCTTAAAATCTAATGGTTAGTCTTTAAAGTGCCACATATTTTTGTGTTTTTATTTTGTTTTGTTTCTTTGAATGTTGCCTGTTACTCTAAAATTAAGATTTTTTTTGGAAGAGTTAGCCCTGTTCGTCTGTGCAAGCATATCAGGCAAAAACTGAAGAACCGGAAGAAAGCAAAACAAAATTTTATCTGTTTTCATGTAAGCTTAAAATCTAATGGTTAGTCTTTAAAGTGCCACATATTTTTGTCTTTTTATTTTGTTTTGTTTCTTTGGATGTTGTCTGTTTTTCCTGATATTTAGCCATAACCGGGCTTCCTGATGTTCGAGCCCACTATTGCATATTCTGCACTCTGGGGTGACTTGAGGACGGATCCTGCCCCTCCTCTGTATTTGAAAAGTGCTGTCATATCTCCCCTCAAATGTCTATGCATGCACACACGCACGCACACATTTCCACAGGCATAGATATACACACACACACACACAAACAAACACACACACACACACAAACACACATACACAGGAAATTATTTGGCCACCAGGGGAAGCAGGATGCCAGCCAAAAGGAACCTTTCAGCTGCTCTGGTAAAGTTCATTTCTGGTGCTTGAAGTTATGTCTGGTTGTGTTGCGTTCTTTTCTTTCCTAACAGCTGAGTCCCAATGGCGGTCAAGAAGACAACCGAATGAAGAATGTCCCAGTGCCTGTATATTGCCGTCCACTGGTAGAGAAGGATCCAACCATGAAGGTGAACATTACAAATTTATTCCAGTAGAACATAGTGTCGGATAATATTTAAAAAATGGACTGCTCAAGATAAAAGGGAGAATTTTAAAACTTTTTGCTGATGATTTGGCAATTACAGTGTTACATCCTCGTCGAAAATTTGTCCATACTCTCAGAATGTTTTCTGATTGGAAACCAGTAAACCAAGTTTGGAAACCAATAAAGAGAAATCTAAAATATTAGCCCTTAACATGAACCACAAGCTCAGTGACAATTAGCCTAAGTCTCCTAATATGTGACTTTCTGTCCTTAAACATTCTCTAAATGTTTAAGGAGTTATCATTCCATAGCACCTCTCTGAAATAATCTCATTAAATTTTAAACCTTCCATCAGGCAAAGCAAAAAACTGGAATAAACTTGATTTGTCACGGATGGGATGAATACAGTAGCAGCTATTAAGATGGTCTTGCTTGTGAAGGTCTCTGATTTATTTTAAACAATATTAGTTGCCACTTGGTTTTTCCCATCATGGCAAAACCTTCTTTCTCACCCTATCCATAAGTTTGAAAAGAACAAGACTCCTGAATTCACTTGCTTGTAAAACGCCAGAACAAGAGTGGCTTAGATTATACCTAACTTAAAATTTTGTTATGCTCCCTTGCCAGTGGACTCCTGAAATGGGGTATTGACTCATTGATGTATTTCATGGGCTACCCTTCCAAATCCACTCACTTCTTAGAATTACTACCATGGCAAATACCTTTCCTATACAACGTCTAGAGACGGGGTGGCACTGTAGGCTAAACTGCAGAAGCCTGTGCTGCAGGGGTCAGAAGACCAGCAGTCGTAAGATCGAATCCACGCGACGGAGTAAGCTCCCGTCGCTTGTCCCAGCTCCTGCCAACCTAGCGGTTCGAAAGCATGCAAATGCAACTCAATAAATAGGGACCACCTCGATGGGAAGGTAACAGTGTTCCATGTCTAAGTCGCACTGGCCATGTGACCACGGAAGATTGTCTTCGGACAAACGCTGGCTCTATGGCTTGGAAACGGGGATGAGCACCTCCCCCTAGAGTTAGACACGACTGGACAAAAATTGTCAAGGGAAACCTTTACCTTTACCTTACAACGTCTTTCAAATTTGGGAATACTGAGTATAGGAAGTCAGTTTTCTCCTCTGGTTTCCTTATGTCATCTGCTCTTCACGACGGTTCAAAGTAAGTTTGTTCATTTTAAATATTGGGGCTTATGCCATTTGAAAGACTAATCTGGTTTTTTTTTCCTAAAATAGATGTCAAAATTTGTGCCGGCTTGTACTTCCCACGTTGTACTTCAAGGTTTATCAAGTTATCAATTATGTATCTCACCTCCTAATTAGAGATGGGGGAATTCGTATACGAATACGAAAATCCCTGCACAGGTGGCGGTTAACGAGGCTCAACCCCCATGGGGCTGGATGGTCCACTCACCGATCCGCCATGAACGCGGACAGCGTGATTCTACCAATGGTGCCGCAGTGCGCGATCCGCTCGCCACTCTTTGACCTTGCAGCGGGGCTTGTCCTCCCGCCTCCTGCCAGGAGCAGCGAGCGGATTTCGTGCTGCAAAGCCATTCGTAGAATCACGGCATCCATGTTGGATTGGTCAGTGGACCGTCCGGCCCCATGGGATTGGACCCTCATTGACACCACCTCTGCGGGGATATATACGTATTCGTATCTAAACGTGCTCACCCTCTGATTTTGTTGGAAACACTGTATGATTATTCTCTTAGGGTCTCAGTTTGGGAAAAGATCTCAACTGTTCAGTTGACACTATTCAAGGGGCTTCTATAGTGAGTGAAATACCTGTGAAATGTAATTGGGAAGTTGAGTCATGGCAACTGGACTTCTTTCTTATGAGTTTGAAACGTTTCACTACTCCTCCAAGTAGCTTTTTCAGTCTGAGGAGAGTTGGTAGGAGACTCCTGACAGATCCCCCACGTTGGTTTCACTTCCCCCTGGTCTGAATAGGGTCATTAGATGAACAAATGTTGGGGGGAGGTGAGTGAAAATCCCACTGCTGCAGTTCTTCTCCCAATAAGGATTGCTAATTTCAACCTAAATCCAGTTGCCGTGACTCAACGTCCAGATAACCTCACCTGGATGACTGAAAATCTTCACAGATACCTGTGAAATGTGTTGCTTTCTACTGTCCTGAATTAAGTCACTTCACTATTAATATAGTGCTCCCTGAGAACTAGAGAGAAAATGTTGCAATGACCTTGAAAGAAGGATTCGTATACTACACGTAGGAGTTCTCTCTGTATTTTCTGTTTTCTTATAATCTTGCTGGTCTGTGACCATAATAAAGAATGATGATGATTTATATCTAACCCTGGTGAAATGTAACTGTATTTATAGCAACCACTGTGTGTCCGTCTCCCGATTTCAGTCCCCACGTTTGGGGGAGTTGTCCATTGATTGGGAAAATATTTTCAATGAAATGGAAAAGCCTACTAAGCAAACCATTTATATTTTGCATTCTTTAGGTTTGCTTTTTCTTTTTCTTAACAATAATAATAAATCACAAACGGCCAATATATGTGTGTCTAGCAGCTCAGCTGGAAATAGAGCTCAACTGGACACAGGGTAGAAATCTTTAAACAGATCTGTGGAAGTCTAGATTGTGGAAGTTGGCAAGTTTAGAGAAACTCTTGAAAAATGCAGTGTTTTTTGGAAATATACAGAGAAATTACTTGCTCCAAAATATAGTCGCCTATATTAATTATGCCAATGGCAACACGGATTTATACTTTTTATCTTCCTCCAGTGCCTCGTTATGCTTGTGACTTTTAGAAAGCATAATTCAAAGTTTTTATAATTCATTAAAAACCCTTTTGCCTTTTTGAACTTATTTTCCAGACATCAGTTATTTTATGAACCACTTTTTCCTTGTTTAATAAACTTTTATTTAAAAAAAGAGTCAGAAGGGCTGTATGTTGCCCACCCCACCCAAGAATATGCTAGTGGACTCTTCCTTTTGTGTTTGTTCTGAATCCAATTTTATTTTGGAAGTACATTTGGACACCCCTATCCATGAGGGATCAGTTCCAAACCCACCCCCCGGGGTAGATGCTGAAAAACATGGATTATAGTGAATGCTATTTTAATAGTGAATCCTATACATAGCATGGGCTCTGGCTTCCTTTAGTGGCCAGTTCTGGTAACTTCATCGGTAGATGATTTTTAAAACTTTAGTGGCCAGTTCTGGTCACTTCATCTGTAGATGATTTTTAAAAAATGTTTTCGGACCATGGATGAGTGAATCAGCGGATACTGATCCCGTGGATAAGGTGGTCCTACTGTATTGATCAAAAAAGACAATGCAGAGACATACATGGTCAACATTTGTGCATATTTTAATGTGCTGTCCATCTTTTCCCCCATCTAAAAAAAAATCTACAATTCTTTATTCAAACATTGTTTCTTTTATCCTTAGTTGTGGTGTGCGGCTGGAGTCAACTTAACAGGTTGGAAGCCTGTGGAACCGGATGCTGCAAATGGGCAGAAACCCGAACCTGGATGTGATCCTCTGACTTGTGATCGGGAAGTGGAGGGAGAGAGTACCAAAAGTACCCATACGTCGCCAGAAAAGAAAACGGTTGGGCATGATGTTTCATTTTCCTCTTCCTTACGTTTGTATAATTAGATACAGTGGTGCCTCGCTTAGCGATGTTAATCCGTGCAGCAAAAATCGCTGCTAAGCGATTTCATCGCTAAGCAATTTTAAAAAGCCCATAGAAACGCATTGAAACCCCTTCAATGCGTTCCTATGGGCTAAAAACTAACCTTAAAGCGAAGATCCTCCATGGGGCGGCCATTTTCGGTGCCTCTAAAGCGGCCAGTTTGTTTTTCCGGCAGCCATTTTGAAACCGCCGATCAGCTGTGCAAAAATGGGGGCTTTGCGATGATCGCTTCCCCGCAATCATCGCAAAGCGAATTTTCCCCATAGGGACCATCACAAAGCGATCGCTCTTGCAATGGCGAAAAGTCCATCGCAAAGCAATTTCATCGCTATACGGAGCGATCGCTATGCGAGGCACCACTGTAGTCTGACTTGGGATTTTTTTATACAAGAAAGATACAGTAGTGAGCAATCGCTATGTGAGACACCACTGTAGTCTGACCTGGGATTGTTTTAATACAGGAAAGATATAGTAGAGCCATCCCATATTTTAACCATCCAGTGAGTGCAGTTCAGCACATGTTAGTATTGTTCCGTTAACTCTAGTGCTTCTTGTAACCTTTCCCAGGCTAGTCTCTTTGTAGTTGCATTGAACTGCAGCTCCCATCTTCCTCCACTCTCCTCTGCCTGCTGTAGCGCGCCTCCAGGGCTTGTATTAACCTGTTTTGTTTTTTTAATCACACATTCGATAAGATTCGTTTATTAACCATTAGCGCAAGCCTACGCGTCAGCCAAAATGTCCTCCACAGAGATCAGTCATAAGGCACTAAATTGTGTAGGGTGGAAGATCCGGGTCTTCTGTGGTTCAAGTCTGACCCTTTAAGATTTTCCCAGAAAATTATGCCCCCTTTTGCATATTACCCTTGTTCAGTGGTTTCCTAGCTTCTGCCTTTTGTTGCCCATTCTAAAAGGTTAGCATATGTACCACTCATAAGCTTTGGTTCCTGGAAATAAGAATCTTAAGCTAGTATCCGTTAATATTTTGGTCCCATCTTTTTGCCTTTGGCTTCACCAATGGCTGGTATGTGGCCTTCAAAATGTATCTCTGAAATTGAATTGGGTCCTTAGCACGAAAGAGGAACCCCAAGTTACAAACTGGGGAATAACATCATGTTCCTGCTTGGCACGAACAGTAGATTGGAGAGTAATGATCATATTCTTACCTTCTTTATTTCTGACCTGTTATGAGTATTGTCTTCTCTTTTAAAAAGTCGAGGCCTTAACTTTGGGATGGAGCCCTAGCATGTCTTTGTCCACGTGGTTCCAAAACCATTCCATCAGCACTTTCGTTTTCCATTATTTCTCTCTGTTTTTTTTTTGTCCCTCTGCCTTTTTTCTCCTTTACAGGCCAAAGAGTTGCATGAGATGGATGCCACGTCCAGTCGAGTGTGGATTCTCACAAGCACATTGTCTACGAGCAAAGTTGTGATCATTGATGCCAACCAGCCTGGCACGGTAGTGGACCACTTCACCGTCTGCAATGCACATGTGCTTTGTATTTCCAGCATTCCAGGTAAGTGAAGAACAGCATTCCGGTAAGATGTCCCTCTCTCTACGAGCGATCGCCCAAGACGGACAGGTCATAGTGGAGAGTTCTAACGCGATCCACCTGGAGCAGGAACTGGCAAGCCACTCCAGTATCTTTGCCAAGAAAACCCCATGAACAGAAACAAAAGTACATATTAACAAGCATAAAAAGCATAAAACAATAAAACAATAGTAATAAAATAAGCATTTGCAAAAAAAAAGGATCAAGATCTGAAATTAACTTGAAGAGCTTGTGAAGCAGGCGATATGTTCTGTCTTTCTATGGCTCATTTAACAAATTTAGCATTCCTATAGGATATATAGCAGTCTGTGCCAGCTGGCAGGAATAAAACTGTACATAAAGGGGAAGTATTCTTGGGCCTAGTTGTTTTGTGTTTAAGATATTGGTCTCTTGCATCTGTTAGAAAACGTACCGTGTCCTCTTTGTTTTAGAGCATCCTTTCTCTTGCATCTGTTAGAAAACGTACCGTGCCCTCTTTGTTTTAGAACACCCTGTTGGACCATGTTGGTCCATGTAACATCCCTAAATCTCTTTCAACTGTCACGGGGACAATGTCTGCCTGTACCATGTTGGTCCGTGTAACATCCCTAAATCTCTTTCAGCTGTCACGAGTTCAGTCTTAAGAAACCACACATAGTCATACGGTACACACCGTCGCAGAAGTTCTCCTTTTTTCTTCTTTACAGCAGCCTGTGATACCGACTATCCTCCTGGGGAAATCTTTCTGGAAGGAGACATGAATCCTGAAGATTCACTGGGGACGGATGGTGTTTTGGCAGGCATCACCTTGGTCGGCTGTGCAACCCGGTGCAACGTTCCCAGCAGCAACTGCTCCTCCCGCGGAGACACCCCAGTGCAGGATAAAGGACAGAGTATGTTTCAGGTCACTCTGCTCTACCACCCTGTAATAAGAGGTCATTTCAGTACTTGTTCTATAAATACAACAAACTTGAGCAAGTGAAGTCATAAACATGATTTCAAAGTCAACTGTAGTGTGGCTGAGGAGGCCAATTCGAGAGTTACAATCTCTTCCACACTGAATACAAATCCAATCTGTCCCCTGTCCAGCTCCCTGGTTTTGCTTCCTTTGTGACTTCCTCTTTGCCTCGGCCTGCTGGACAAGGGTCTCTTCAAATTGGGAGAGGCCGTGATGTACCGCCTGCTTCCAGGCTGAATGATCAGATGTCAGAGTTTCCCATCTGTTGAGGTCTATTCCTAAGGCCTTCAGATCCCACTTGCAGATATCCTTGTTCAACAAACTTGAGCAAGTGAAATCATAAACATGATTTCAAAGTCAACTCTATGGAGCAAATGCAGATTGATCTAACAGTCTCATACATAATGAAGTTCCAGCAGCCCAGTACATAATAAAAGTCCTGATTCTGAAAAATGGCCATATGTAAAATTGTTATATTTCCTAGCCATCAAGGAGAAGGGGGAAAATGGAAAAGAAGTGATAGAAGAAAAGTGGAGGGGACACAGTAGGCAGTGTGTTGAAAAGTACGAAATTAATTTGTGGGTCAACTTGCATAGGACTGTATTTCTAACCATCAGCCTTCTAACAGAGACTTCTTGTCTGCATGTGTATTTTTTTTAAAAAAACCTACATAAACTCAGTCTTTCTGGAAAATTTCATCTATGGCTTGGCCATAGGGTCTTCCAGCATTGCAGTTCTAAGATGATGTTGATGAGTCCTTTTCTATTTTGCTTTGGACAAGACAGCTGGACCACAATGATTCCCCCTTTTTTGAAAGATGTAACCTGAGTTTTGTGACTCTTTTTGGTGTCTCAGAGTTGACAGTGAAGAAATCAGCATCCGAATCCTTGGGCCTCTGAGGAGGTAGTTCCGCTTGCCTTTCTCTTCCATGTCTTTTTCCTTTTTTTTTCCTGCCATTAGGCAAAGTGCCCATCGTAAGCAATGGCAAGATCAATCAGTGCCAATCCACCGAGGAGGCGACAGAAGCCACGGAGGTGCCAGAGAATAGCGGGAATGAAATGGAGCCCACCCATGTCCGAACACAGCCGCTGACAGAACACGTCTTTACAGATCCTCCCCCAGCTCAGCCACCTATAAGACAGAACAGGTAAGGAACTCTGCACAGAGCCTAGTCTTCGTGCTCTCTTCCGAAGAGTCACATTAATCCTGAGGAGTGCCTCAGAAGGAAAAGATTTCAGATGTGCGAGTCTTTGGATGTCTTGGTGAGAGCTAAGCCCCAGTACAGCTGAGCTTTCATGTTGGTAGATGCATCCTGCAGTGTCTTCTCTGGTGCTTAAAATGGTTCTTTTTTTCTTTTTCTTTTTGGCTACTGCTATGTACTCAGTGTGGTGTAGCGGATAGAATGATGGACTAGGACTCTGGAGAACAGGGTTCAAATCCCCTCTTGGCTGTAGAAACTCACTAGGGGAGTGGAACTGGTAAAACCACTTCTTAAATATTTCACTTACTGTATTTTTCGCTCTATAAGATGCACTTTTCCACCCCAAAAAGTGGGGGGAAAGTCTGCGTCTTATGGAGCGAATAAAACAGCGCTCCTCAGGGCCCAGTGGGGGGATTGTGGGGGGGAGCCTTGGAGGGTCCGAGAGTGCCTTCAGGACCCTTCAGAGGCTCCAGCCACCCACCCCCACGGGGCCAGCTGGGGCGAAATCACGACCTTCCAGGACCCTTCTGAGGCTTTCTAAGCCTCCTGGATCCTGGAAACTGGCAATTTCACCCCCGTTGGAGACTCCCCCCACCCCCACGGGCCCAGTGGCCTGAAATTGCCAGAATTTTTTTCCTGTTTTCCTCCCCTAAAAATGAAGTGTGTCTTATGGAGAGGTGCATCTTATGGAGTGAAAAATACGGTACCTTGAAAGTCCTACTAGGGTCACTATAAGTCAATTCTGACTTGATGGCACAGAACACGGGTGTGTCCCCAACCTTTGGTTTCAATAGACAGATAACCTGGCCTGATATAAAATGCAGTGGTGTGACTATTCTCCCTGCCTTTAAATGACTTTGTTTTTCTCTTTTGACAGTGAGAATGGACAACCTAAAGTGGAATCAAGCACAGCAGCACAGGAACAAGAAGCAAATGGGAATCCATCTGGGGCCACCACTAGCGCAGCCCCTACCATGTGGCTTGGAGCACAGACTGGATGGTAGGACTCAGGAGATGAAAGATGCAATCATTCCAGATGCAGTGAAATTACTTTTTTGGACTAGGACTCCTAGAATACTCCAGCCAGCATAGCTAGTCTTATACCTATTTGCAACCTTCAGTAAGGAAGAACCCTGGCTTGTTGGCCTGGAGTGAAGCAGGGAGCATGAGTTGCCTAGTGCACCATTTTCAGTAAGCAAAAACCGCTCTAGCAGGATGAGCCAGATACCAAGCTAAGGCATCCAAAGCTGATACTCATCATGCTCAGAAAAGGTTTTGGTTGGTGCAAGGAGCAAGAAGATTAAGAAATGTGTAACTTCTCATATCTTTGCGTAGTTTTGCTTCACCGAGGTTACCTTTAGTCTATGTGGTTTTAGACTGATCAGGCCACCTCTGGAGTAGTGTTGTGAAATTCTGAGTAGTGTACTTCAGGATCCTGGACTCTGGAACCCAAGTCTGAATGGTTTAAAAACTGGCTGAGTTTAGCTTGGGGAGGAGGACATCGGTTTCAGTGGCAGCTCATGGTGAAATGTGGTCATTGTCTTCAAATATCTGAAGGGCTCCCATGTAGAAGATGGAATAGGTTTGATTTCTGTGGATCTGGCCATATAACCAGAATCTCTAGACAAGAATTGTTTTCATCATCATCATCATCAGGTTTGATTTCTGTGGATCTGGCCATATAATCAGAAACTCTAGACAGGGATTTTTTTCATCATCATCATAATCATCCCTTGTTACTGTGGTCTTTAGGCCCTGGCATTGCAATTAGTTCAAGAACCCCACATTTCCATGGATTCTTAACAAACCATAAGTACTGTAAGAGGTACAGCTCAGGGGGTTGAAGGACGTCAAAGGCTGGGAGTTGAGATGCCCGCCATGCCAGAGGTCAGCCCAGATCATCCGGATTCTTAACAAACCATAAGTACTGTAAGAGGTACAGCTCAGGGGGTTGAAACACATCAAAGGCTGGGAGTTGAGATGCCCGCTATGCCAGAGGTCAGCCCGGATCATCCAGAGCGTTGGTGTCTAAAGGGGTGCCCATACGCTGTGACCTGTGCAGATTTGGGTGGACTGTGTGGAAGGGATTTTCTTGGTTTTGAACTGTAGCCTCCGGAGGCGACCTTGACAAACTCGACTCCTTTCCTTCAGGTTGTACGTGCACTCGGCGGTCTCAAACTGGAAGAAATGCTTACACTCGATCAAGCTGAAGGACTCAGTGTTGAGCTTGGTGTAAGTAAATGGGCTTATTTATCTTATTACATTTATATGCCACATTTGCTCCAGGGAGCTTAAAGGAAACTTAGGTGGTCTTCTTCCTATTTGTATTCTTGTAAACATATATTCTTGTAAACATATATTCTTGTATAGCTGCGCTGGCCACGTGATCATGGAAACTGTATTCGGACAAACGCTGGCTCTACGGCTTGGGAACGGAGATGAGCACTGCCCCCTAGAGTCGGACACGACTGGACTAAATGTCAAGGGGAACCTTTACCTTTACCTTAAACATATATTTTAAAATATGCTTAATATTTGAATTTTAATTTTTTTAAAAAAATATTCTTTTGGCGTCTGCATTTTTACAAGCAGTCACAGATCCCCCTTGTGAGCATGACTCTTGATAGGGCTGCTTGGCTAGGAGTCAGCTAATTGCATAATCCTGACGACAGGGATCAAAAATTGAGATGGTTCCAAACATGGAGCTGATTTCTCCTGTGAAAACTTGGGTGAGGAGACTTTTTGATCTCAGAAATCCTGGGAATAATGTTTATTGAAAGTGCGAGAATAAAATACCACTGCTGTTTTTCTAAGGTAACGGAAAATACCTTGCATATACCTTACACAATGGTATACCATTCCCCTGAAGATACAGTACATGACACAACATCCTCCTTTCTGGAGGACTTGTTACTCCATTGCTTTCTTGAAAGCAAACCTGTTCTCTTTACTCTGTAAAGAAAACAATCTTTTGACTTTACAGTGGTGCCTCGCTTAGCGATGTTAATCCGTGCAGAAAAAATCGCTGCTAAGCGTTAACATTGCTAAGCGAAAATAAAAAGCCCATAGAAACACATTAAATGCGATTAATACGTTCCTATGGGCTAAAAACTCACCTTTAAGTGAAGATCCTCCATAGGGGCGGCCATTTTTGGTGCCTCTTAAGCGAGGAAACAGCGGGTGGCCATTTTGTTTAACCGCCAATCAGCTGTGCGAAAATGGGGGCTTTGCGATGATCGCTTCCCTGCAATCATCGCAAAGCGAAATTTCCCCATAGGGACCATCACAAAGCGATCGCTTTTGCGATGGCAAAAAGTCATCGCAAAGCGATTTCATTGCTATACGGAGCGATCGCTATGCGAGGCACCACTGTATTTCTGTGACCTTTAGTTATCTGGCGGCTCTCAGAATATCTCCCCCCTCTGCCCGCAAATGTACCATTTTGTGAAGCTCTGGCTGGCAAACCAATTAGCCGAGACACCAAGCTCTGGGAGTAACGGTACATTGGCTTGTTTGTTATGCAAGATTTGTGCTGTTAGTCATGAGGGACATCATTCAGCTGATAAATCTTTGCCCTTGAACTTCTCAGAGTTCTGCCCAACCCACAATTTAGAAAAGTTATTATTATTTATTTGGCAATTCCTAGAATTTCCCCATATGGCTTGGCCACATGGTGAAAGGTTGACATGTTTTTCAAAGACTGATCCCATTTCTTTACCGCCCCCCACCATTTCCTGATATGTCATAGGGCCATGCTTAGAGCCTTTAGGAGCCAATATTTTGGTTTTTTTAAAATTGAAAACGTAGATTCTCAAGGTAGTGAATTTACTCTGGTTTCTTGTGTCTGCAGGAGAGCATTGTTTCTTGGATCTGAAATGGATTTTCTCCTTCTCTTGCACTTTCAGGCATGTGAAAGGCCGCGTTCTTGTAGCCCTGGCTGATGGGACGCTAGCCATATTCCACCGAGGAGAAGGCAAGTTCAGTGTTCTAGGAAATGACGACAGGTTTTTGGTAAAGCTAGAGAAAGACACAAAGATTCTCAGTCATCCTGGTGTGGTTATCTGGATGCTGAGTCATGGCAACTGCACTTCTTTCTCCTTAGGTTGAAACATTTCACTACTCATCCAAGCAGCTTCTTCAGTCTGAGGAGAGTTGGTCGTTGGTCTTCTATTTATCATTCCTACCGACCCTCCTCAGACTGAAGAAGCTGCTTGGAGGGAGTAGCAAAACGTTTCAAACTCATAAGAAAGAGGTCCAGTTGCCATGACTCAACTTCCAGACTAGAGAAAGACTATTCGTTAGGATTTGTGAAATCACTACTTGTGTGGTTCAACGAGACAAGCCGTCTCATCTGCGCAGTTCCTGAATTCACCACAGTTTGGTACCACCTGACATTCCTACATTCAGATCTGTTGGGTGGGGGGGGGATAACCCTATTCCAGCCTTGGTGATTGGGGTGTGTCCATGACAGACATTGAAGTTACCTCACGGAGGAACTGCTGCGTGCAGTTCAACAGCTCACGACAATGGACAGCGACCCACAGATCATGTCACACCTCCTGACGTCAATTCCAGAGTCCACAAGCTCCCTCTTGTTATTCTGCTCTCTTTCCTCTTTTTTGTTCCTCTCTAGATGGCCAGTGGGACCTCAGCAACTATCATCTCATGGACCTGGGCCACACGCACCACTCTATCCGGTGTATGGCTGTGGTGTACGACCGTGTGTGGTGTGGTTACAAGAACAAAATTCATGTCATCCAGCCCAAGACAATGCAGATAGAGGTATGGCAGAGGTAGAAGAGGAAAGTTTTTGGTCAAATTACAGTAATAGTACAGATCCACTCAGATTTTCAACAGCAACTTAAAATTTGTTATGTTTCTGTAAAATAATGTGGTGGAACAACCAATTCCAAGCAAAACAAAAAACCCCAAAGTGAAAATATAATTTTTATAACAGGAAGGCCTTTTCATTTTTTTTAGGCCTGAGGTGGCCTTTTGGGGTTGTTGTGGAAAGGAGAAAATGGCTCCTGACGCTCTAGAGTTGCCAATCCCACTTTATAAAGTTGCAGAAGGCCCTTTGCTGTTTGAGAGGATTCTGTGTTTCTGGCATTGTGCCGTGCCCCAACCTAAGACAATGTTATTTCAGTCATCAGGACTCTGACTAAGACGACCAGGTCATCTATGCTTGATTGCATTTAGACTTTTTTTGGTATTCTGTTGGAATTTCCTAAAACTGAAGGCAGACTCACCCAAGAAATCTGAAAAGGGAATGTGTGATCAATTCAAATGGTCTTTTCTTCGTGCTGTTTTGCAGACCTCCTTCGATGCCCACCCTCGCCGGGAGAGCCAGATCCGGCAGCTTGCTTGGATTGGAGATGGTGTTTGGGTTTCCATCCGCCTAGATTCCACCCTGAGGCTCTACCACGCTCACACCCACCAGCATCTCCAGGACGTGGACATTGAGCCCTATGTCAGCAAAATGTTGGGTAAACAAAAGAGCATCAGAAGCCGCCTACCCTGAGGAGCCTCTTTGCCCCTCATTCTCCTAGGAAGCTTCCATTTCATTGTTCCTTATTCTTGACCCCTCTGCATGGCTCTCAGAATTCAAACATGCCATTTTTCCACACTAGGAAATCCTTTCTCAAGTTCCTGGATGATGCTGTCATTTCCCTTTCAAATCCCTGTCCCTTTCACACATGCGTTGGGTCTCAGTAGTTTGGTGGGAACCATTTAGGTGTGGGACACGTGCTTTTCCTGAAAAGAAGATCCACTTCCCTTCCTGGTTTCTTCAAGAAAGACTGGGAAAGGTCCCAGTCTTGGATCTTGGAGTGTTGGTGTGTTACAGCGTGTAGACTATGCCGCCTTAGGTAGATCAGTGATTTGACCTGGTAAGAGGCAATTTCCAGAAGCAATGTGTGCATGATGAAAGCACAGTTGCAGTCCCAAAGTAACGTGTGACCCAGTACTTTAGTTTTGCAACATTCAGTTCATGACCCAAAAATGCATTAAAATGTACATGTCAGGAGAAAGTGTGCACAAAAGTATCTTTATTAGTAAAATAGGATGTTTCTTGCCTAAAAAGGAAGTTGCATTAGAGACGTAGGTGCACATTAATTTAGGTACATTTGTATTGATTTTAAAAATGAATTCATACTCTTAAGAGATCTGAATGGCAGTTCCCTTCTCCTATAAAACAAGGCAGCAAAATGAGAAATACTGTGCCATACAAGGACAATACTTTCCCTTAACTGAAGTTTTTCTTATACTTAGTCATATACAAACAACCCTTGAGAACAGCTACAAAAAATTCTTTTTTTTCCCCCAACCCCATGCGTGTTTCATTTGGAGCACCCTCCCCCTTCCCAAATTATTTATATTCTTGAATTGGATTTTGTCCCTTCCCCTTTATTAATATATATGTCTCCCCATATGTCTGCAAATTCCTTACTGTCAGTTACCCCACATTTTAACTTTTCTGTCACATGTAAGTTAATAAACTTGCTATATTCTAGACTTCTGTATATCATTCACTTAACAAAATATTATGAGCTGTTTTCTAATTCCTAGCTATAATAAGTCTCCCCTCTGTTAACAGACTGGAAAATAATTCTCAGATTGGGAAATAATTCTCTAATTGTCCAATTACCTTGTCAAATAATGATAAAAGCACTTTTAGGGCATGTAGGTAAATGTAAATTGCTTGGTTTGTTTATTTCCGTAAACAAAAATGGCCAACATTTCAGTCTACCTCATCTATTTCTAATGTTCAGGCTGTGAGTGCAGAGCACTGTGTGGCCAAAAGAACATGTATATACAGTGGTGCCTCGCTTGACGAGGATAATCCGTTCCAGCAAAATCGCTGTTAAGCGATATCCTCGTCAAGCGAAATAAAAGATCCCATTGAAATGCATTAAAACCTGTTCAATGCGTTCCAATGGGCTGAATAACTCACCGTCCAGCGAAGATCCTCCATAGGGTGGCCATTTTCAGCTCCCTGTCTTGCGAAAAAGCTTTCCTAAACACAGCGGGGAGCCATTTAGTACACCCAGTGGCCATTTTGAAACCCGATAATCAGCTGTTTTTGATCATCATAATGCGAAGAATCGGTTCCCGAAGCAGGGAACCGATCATCGCAAAGCGAAAAAACCCCCATTCAAACATCGTTTTGCAGCCGCAAAAACTTCACCGTTTAGCAATTTCCTCGTCTAACGAGGTAATCATCAAACGGGGCATCACTGTATATACAAGAGAGAGTTATTAGTAAGACTGAGGGAACCCAAAGTTTGCTGATGTGCACAAAACTTGGGAAGGGAAAAACCTGAAGTGCCCTCAAAGCATGGGTCAGTGTTGGCCGACTTGATGGGGAGGGAATAGAGAATGGGATGGTTGGTTGGTGGATTGGCTAAAACGGAACGCCCCGTCTGGCAACATTTTTTTTGTAGGGGTCATTTGTAGCAACAATATTTTGGCCTTTTAGTAAGTGGCATGATCTTGACTAAAATGGTTTGCATCTCTTACTCAGGGACTGGAAAACTCGGCTTCTCCTTTGTGCGGATTACAGCCTTGCTCATTGCTGGCAATCGTCTTTGGGTCGGGACAGGCAACGGTGTCATCATTTCTATCCCTTTGACAGAGAGTAAGTGGCCTTCGCTTCATTTCTTTTGCAAATGTTTTCCCTCCCGCCCTTTAACAGGGCGGATATTTGGCTGTGGTTCCCCGTCCTGTGTCCAGTTCCCCACGCCGAAGAGCAAGGCAAGGCAAATCCTGTAGACTTCGTTTGTGACGCTTGCCTTTGTGCAGCTCTTGAGTAAAGCCTGTCCAACAGTTATCTCTTGCAGAACAGGCCTCGTCGTCCTGCTGAAGCCCTGTCTGGGGCTGAGCAGCGGGATCTGGACTCCGTTACCCCTGCTCTGTTTGGATGATCTAGTTTGGTGTCAACTGTTGCATTTGGCTGCCCAGCCCAGAGACCATCCGGAATAGAGCAGAGCGGAAATGCGGTCCAGCCTTTCGTGTGCTCGTTTCTCTGATTCTTAAGCACCTATTGCTGAAATTGTATTTAGGATCAAGTCTGTTATTTTTGTAGATTGTCTTTATTT